TTCCTGCCCGCCTATACGAGTTCATTTCTCCATTCTTCGTCTCCTCCAGCCTTTCCTGTCCCCCTCTGATTAGCGTGCCGGATTCCCCCTTGAGCAACACCCATGTCGCTTTATTCGGGAGGGGGGGGTGTATTTGCGGACATTTCCCCCATGCCATTATCTGGTGCGGGGTGTGTGTGTGGTGGAAAGCGCCACCAAGTCTCAGCCGACTTATGTGGACCCCGGAGGGGTTGCAAGCAGTGTTCCCTCTAAGCTGAGTGAGTGTGAGCCAGCTCACAGTTCTTTAGCCTCCGGCTCACCCATTTTTGTCTCCCCTCAGGAAGGGCCGGCTCCAGAGCAGACTAATCTATGCAGTAGCCAAATTGCCCGCTCACAACTTTAATGCCAGGAGCTCACAACGTAGAATATTGGCTCACAAGGCTCCACAGCTTAGAGGGAACGTTGGTTGCAAGGCAAGAGATGTGCAGAGGTGATTAGGGGGCTGCCTGCCTCTGTGTAGCGGCCCCGGGCTTCCTTGGGGGTCTCCCCCCGAAGTGTGAACTGTCCTTACTTAGCTTATGGGATCTGATGAGATCGGGCCAGCCTGACCCATCCAGGCCAGGGCACACCCTCACGTACCGCGTTTTACTTCCTTGATAAGAAGAGTTCCCCACGACGCTACCAAGGGCCACCCAGGCCCCCAACCCTTAACCTGATTCAGCCCAAAAGGGCAGGATCATTTCAGCTGGCAACTTCTTCTCCTGTTCCGCTCCCGTGCCGCTCCCGCAGGGAATCACCCCTGGAAACTGGTACTACGTTCCTGCAGTGAGATGCCCCCCCACTCACACGGGCACACCTGTGCAAGCCACACTTTCCTATCTGAAGAAGAGACTGAATTTATACCCCACTCTTCACTACCTGAAGGAGTCTCAGGGAACTTGTGACTGTCCCAAGGTCACACCAGCAGCTGCATGTTGGAGGAGTGGGGAAGAAGGAGGAAGAGGAGATTGGATTTATACCCCGCCCTTCACTACCCAAAGGTGTCTCAGAGCGGCTTACAAACTCCTTTCTCTCCCCCTCCCCACAACAGACACCCTGTGAGGTAAGGCGGGGCTGAGAGAGCTCTTTCCAGAACTCTCCGTGAGAGAACAGCTCCGAGAGAACTTGTGACTGACCCAAGGTCACACCAGCAGCTGCATGTGGAGGAGTGGGGAAGGAGGAGGAGGAGGAGGAGATTGGATTTATACCCCGCCCTTCACTCGGAGTCTCAGAGCGGCTTACAAACTCCTTTCCCTCCCCCTCCCCACAACAGACACCCTGTGAGGTAAGGCGGGGGCTGAGAGAACTCTTTCCAGAACTGTCCGTGAGAGAACAGCTCCGAGAGAACTTGACTGACCCAAGGTCACACCAGCAGCTGCATGTTGGAGGAGTGGGGGAATCAAACCCGGTCCTCCCAGATTACAGTCCGTGCTGCTAACCACTACGCCGAACTGTCTCTCAGAAAGAAGACGGAAAGGAAGCGGAGCCAGGAAGCCAGTGCGTTTTAAGAAAAAAAGAAACCAACAATTTTATTCATCAGCGACCACACACACGCACGCACACAGACAGAGAGTGGACAGTGGAGAGACGGACGCGGAGTCTCCTGCCAGACGTCTTCCCCGCAGCCCAGTCGGAGGCCCCGGGGCCCTGCAGCCGAGGGTGAGGCTGGCTGAGCCGTGTCGAACACAGAGGAACGGCCGGGCATGCATACACAGTGAGGGGGTCAGACAGGTGATCGGCAGCCCCCTTGAGGGGCGGGAGTGTCTTTGAAGAAGCGCACCTTGAGAAGTGGCCGACGCTAGGTCGGACCGGGGCCGTGGCTATTCTGTGGGGGTCCAGAGAAGACCCGGCCTTTGGTATAGGCTGCAGAATCCGGGGCTGTGTGGGACGGAGGGGGGAGAGGGGTGCTGGGAATGAGAAACAGCACCAGGGACCTGGCCTGCTGAGACCCCTCTAAGCTGTGGGGGTCCTGTGAGCAGAAATTCCGCTTTGGGAGCTCCTGGGCATGAAAGCGGTGAGCGAGCGACGGGGCCCCTGCGTCAACAAGTTTGCACTGGGGCCCCCTCCTCCCGGGGCGGAGATGAAAATGTGTGAGAGCCGGAGGCTAAAAAACCGTGAGCTGGCTCACCACTAACTGAGCTGAGAGGGAACACTGGTGGAGGCGCTTCTTTCCGCTGGGCTCAGACCGTTTGTTTGGCACAACTGGGGGGAAGGGGCAGGGAGGGGGTACTGGCACCAGGAGGGATGTGAGAGGAAGCAGCGGCAGGTGGACTCCGCCACGTCGCCAATCTGAACAGCTGCCCTTTGGAGCTTCTCATTTCACCCAAAGAGAGAACACTGAACCTTGGAGGCCCAGACTGGCTCTGGACGCAGGCCAGCTGTAGACGTACCGCTGGAGTTGGAGCTTCAAGAGTCTGCGTCGGCTTCCTGGCCAGAGCCTGGGGGGGGAAGGACATTGCTAGCAATGCTCCCTCTTTGGAGCCTTGTGAGCAAAAATTCTACTTTGTGAGCTCCTGGGCATTAAAGTGGTGAGCGAGCAATTTGGCTGCTGCATTAATTACTTTGTTCTGGAGCCCTCCTTCCTGAGCCGAGACAAAAAATGGGTGAGCCGGAGGCTAAAAATGGTGAGCTAGCTCAGACTAACTCGGCTTAGAGGGAACACTGATTGCTAGTAGCAGGAAAGGGCCCCAACAGTGGCGATCTGAGGCAAGGCAAGGCAAGGCAACCAGCCGCCTCATTCGAGGGCCTCTTGAGACAGCGCCTCCCACGCGGCACATGGCGGCTTGAGGGGAACGCCAGCCCACGGAACCTGGGCTGGCGGCGCCAAGGAGACAGCGGTGGAGAAGGCCCAGCTACAGGAACTTTTCGCCAAGAGGCCCCCAATTTGCCCCTTGAGTTAAACCATCAATGCTTATCCACGGTGCAGGATCAGAAGGCTTGGGGAGGAGGAGGAGGAGACTGGATTTATATCGCGCCCTTTGTTACCCGAAGGCATCTCAGAGCGCCTGACGAGTTTATCCACGGTGCAGGATCAGAAGGCTTGGGGAGGAGGAGGAGGAGAGGAGGAGGAGGAGGAGGAGAAGAAGAAGAAGAGGAGGAGGAGGAGGAGGAGGAGGAGGAGGAGACTGGATTTATATCCCGCCCTTCGCTACCCGAAGGCGTCTCAGAGCGGCTGACGATCCCTTTCCCTGAGGGGAAGGTGGGGCTGAGAGGGCTCTTTCGAGGACTGCCCTTGAGAGAACAGCTCCGAGAGAACTCGTGACTGACGCAAGGCCACACCAGCAGCTGCACGTGGAGGCGTGGGGGGAATCAAACCCGGTTCTCCCAGATTAGAGTCCGCGCTCCTAACCACGACACCAAACTGGCTCTCTTAACCACTACTCCAAACTGGAGGCATCCTGACCCCACAGCCTTAGGACTAGACCACAGGAGAACACAGCAGTGGAAAAGGCGAGGGGGGGGGTCAGGCCCGACAGGGGCTCCTGTCCCTTCTCCCTTCTCTATTTATCTACTTGCAATGTCTTGCTTTCGAACGGCTAGGTTGGCAGGAGCCGGAACCAGAGACGGGAGCTCACTCCGTCATGCGGCACACTTGGGTCTCGAACTCCTGAACGACCGACCTTCCACAGCCTGCAGTTCAGCGTCTTAACCCCTGGAGCCACCGCAGCTCTTTTCTAAAAAGAGGAGCATCCAAATTAGTGTTGCCAACCTCCAGGTGGGACCTGGAGACCTCCTGGAATCACAACTGGTTTCCAGACGACGGCTCAGTCCCCCGGAGAAAATGGCTGCTTTGGAGGGCGGGCTGTATGGTGTCATATCCCCGTTGAGTTCCTTCCCCTCTCTAAGCCCCAGCGTCCCCAGACTCCACCCCCAAATCTCTAGGAATTTTCTAACCCAGAGGTGGCAAGTGCCCGGAGTGGTACAGACCGGGAAAAAGCCTGGCTGCTGCGTACACCGCTCCTACGCTCCTCCGTGCCGTAAACCAGGTGCATCTAACTCTTTTTCCATCCGTTGCAGGGAAATATTGGTAGAAGAAGAAGAAGAGAAGAGATTGGATTTATATCCCGCCCTACACACGGAGTCTCAGAGCGGCTCACAAACTCCTTTCCCTTCCCCCTCCCCACAACAGACACCCTGTGAGGTGGGTGGGGCTGAGAGAACTCTGACAGAAACTGCTCTTTTTCAAGGACAGCTCTGCCAGAGCTTGTGACTGACCCAAGGTCACACCAGCAGGTGCAAGTGGAGGAGTGGGGAATCCAACCCGGTTCTCCCAGATCAGAGTCCGCACACTTAACCACTACACCAAACTGGCTCTCTACACCAAACGTCTCTACACCAAACGTCGACAAAGCCAGCCAGATCGGGAACGGCGACGCTGAAGAGGCCGAGCTTTTCAAGTGCTCCACCCCCGACACCCCCCCTCCAAATCACCTGGAAAGTCCGAAGAAACGGCTGACCCCCGTTTTGGACAGGGCCGTTTCCCTCGTTCGTTCCTTTCGTACCAAGGCAAAAAAGACAGACCGCTGCGCATTCAGCAATCGAGCCATTCCACGCCCCATGCCCAGCCCCCCACGTTTGTGGCCATCCTTCCAGGCAGCCAAAACCTAGAACGATGCACGCCATTCATGGGTAGGCCGGAGGAAGACAGTAGGCGGGCACCCCAGAGAGCAGAAGGCCGGAAAACAGGCAGTGGATTCTGGGTGCCGCTGAGGGCGGCGGAACAGGAGATGGGTCAGAACTGAAGGGGGCGTATCTGCCAGGAGGTCCTGCTGGCAAGAACGGGGGGGTCGCTCCCGCCCAGAACGAAACGGCGGAGAACTTCCTGGTGGGTGGCGTTCTGACATTAAGCTGCGATGGACGGGGATGGGAAGCCATTTCAGTTTCTCCGCCGTGGGAGCCAAAAAACGTCTCAAGCGGCCCCGCGGGGACGAAGGCCGACGTGACCCCCTCGCTCCCCCGCAGCTGCTTGCGGGAAGCGCCGTTCAGTACCCTGCCGAGACCGATCCGTTGTAGGTTTCTGAGTGGAAGCAGGAGCTGTGAGACGTGCTGGTGAGGCTGTAAGCAAAGTAGGCCACGGCGGAGCCCAGAGTCAACCCCGTCATGTAGGAGACCGTCATGGTGTTACCTGGAGAGGTGACGAAAAATGGGACGGGGAGAAGAAGAAGAAGAAGAGATTGGATCTCTACCCTGCCCTTTGCTACCTGTAGGAGTCTCAAAGAGGCTTACAAACTCCTTTCCCTTCCATTCAGCCCTTCACTACCCGAAGGAGTCTCAGAGCGGCTTACAATCTCCTTTCCCTTCCCTTCTCCACAACAGACACTTTGTGAGGTAGGTGGGGCTGAGAGAGCTCTTTCGAGAACTGCTCCTGAGAGAACAGCTCTCAGAGAGAATGTGTGACTGACCCAAGGTCACACCAGCAGCTGGCTATCTAGTCGTGGCTTTATAACCCATCCTTCACTACTTGAAGGAGTCTCAGAGCAGCTTACCTTCCTTGCCCCCATAACAGATACCCTGTGAGGTAGGAGGGTCTGAGAGAGCTCTTTTGAGAACTGCTCTTGAGAGAACAGCTCTGAGAGAACTTGTGACTGCCCCAAGGTAACACCAGCAGCTGCAAGTGGAGGAGTGGGGAATCAAACCCGGTTCTCCCAGATTAGAGTCCGCGCACTTAACCACTACGCCAAACTGGAGGGGAGGTCAAACACGACCGCCTTTCGCCTTACGGGTGGTTCGAGGTCTTTGGCCACCCTCAGCCAAGGCACACCGATCCCCTCCTAAGTCCACAGTGCTCGGTACAAACCAAGACCCTCTGGCATTTTGGCTGGTGGCAGCATGGATCCAGGAGATAATGCCAGCCCCCTTCCCCAGTCCCTCGGCCTTTCCTTGTACACTCCCCAGTCCCTCGGCCTTTCCTTGTACAGCTTCCAGGCCCCCGATCGTCCTCGCCGCTCTCCTCTGCACCCGCTCCATTCCGTCCACCTCCTTTTTGAAGTGAGGCCTCCAGAACTGCACACGAGACTCCCGGTGCGGCCTGACCAAGGCAGTGTGCAGCGGGACTGTCACATCCTGCGATTTGGGTGCAGGGGTCACCTCTGAATGCCCAGATCCTGTTCTTGCTATTCAGAGAGTGGGCCTTCTGGGCTCTGGTATGTTCACTGTGTGACTTAGAACCCAGCCGGGGCCAAACAAATGCCTGCAAAGGTGTCTCAGAGCGGCTTACAAACTCCTTTCCCTTCCCCTCCCCACAACAGACACCCTGGGAGGCAAGTGGGGCTGAGAGAGCTCTGACAGAAACTGCTCTTTTTCAAGGACAGCTCTTATCAGAACCACGGCTTGCCCAAGGTCATCCAGCCAGGTGCAAGTGGAGGAGGACTGGGGAATCAAACCTGGTCCTCCCAGATTAGAGTCCGCGCACTTAACCACAACACCAAACTGAGAGAACAGTTCTGAAAGAACTTATGACTGACCCAAGGTCACAGCAGCAGCAGCCGCATGTGGAGGAGTGGGGAATCAAAGCCGGTTCTCCCAGAGTCCAGACTCTTAACCACTGCACCAAACTGGCTATTTATCATCCCTCTTTCTCACTAAGATGAATGGGGGGTTACTGCTCCTATACAGTGGGGTGCTAATCAAGACCTGTGTCTGCTTCAAAGAGATTTCATGGCCTATCAAAAGCTACCTACCATGATAATTAAATGGAAATCCCAACTACACCTTTGGATACTAGAGGCTGGGGGAAAGGCCACATGGAAGAACCCGTGCAAGAGCTTGCAGGGGCACAGCGTGGGTAGCCGATCCAGAGAGAGTGCCCGGCTAATGGGACCTTGCTGCAATCTTGGAGGGACTGTCGCTTGCTTAGAATCACAGAATCGCAGAGTTGGAAGGGGCCATCCAGGGGCCATCTAGTCCAGCCCCCTGCTCAGTGCAAGATCAGCCTAGAGCATCCCTGACGAGGGTTTGTCCAGCCGCTGCTTGAAGACTGCCAGTGAGAGGGAGCTCACCACCTCCCGAGGCAGCTGGTTCCACTGTTGCACGACTCTTCCTGTAAAAAAGTTCTACCAGGGTTCGAGGTCGGCCTACCAGGGTTTGAGGTCGGCCTACCAGGGTTTGAGGTTGGCCTATCAGGGTGTGAGGTCAGCCTATCAGGGTTCGAGGTCAGCCTATCAGGGTTCAAGGTCGGCCTATCAGGGTTTCACGGGTCATCCCACTGACCTGCCAGTTCTCGCTGCTCCGGGCTCACTTTGCCAGCAGCGAGGATCATGGGGACGCTGCCAAAGTAGCCATTGGTGATCCCCATGAGGAGGGAGAAAATGCAAGGCCAGGCCGGGTGGCCAAAGGTGGGCTTCCCATTGGGGTACACACACATGATGAACAGCGGGATGAAGACGACTCGCAGACAGGAATAGACGAGAAGGTGTGTCCCCCTCCAGTCGTAAGGCAAGGCAGCCAGGATCTGAAAGGAGAGAAGGAGAGAGAGAGAGGGTGTGAACCAGCAGTAGGACTGTTGTCTAGAGTGTGTGCACTCTGTCCTAAGAAAAGCCTGGCTGGATCAGGTGCGCAGGTCCATCTAGTGCAGCATCCTGTTTCCTAAAGCGGCAGATCAGGTGTTTCTAGGAAGCCCACACGTTAAGCAAGAAAAGCACAGTCCCTCCCCAGTAGTTGCCTCCCTGTAACATTCAAAGGTACTGATCCAGCGTTATTCATCGCCGTTATTGGAACTGCCATTTTGTGCCAACATCAGAGAAACGCAAAACTCGACTCTGCATCCTTTAACTTCAGTTTTGAGGGGACAAAACGGAATGGCTTTTGAAAAAAACATGGCCCAAATTTTATAAATGGATTGAAGAAAATCATGTCTGATTTCCACAGGCCTACGACCGACATGGAACAATGAACTACATGCTTCATTGTATGCAAAGATCTCTGTAGATAAGCGATAAGGTGTGGAAAAAGCGTGAAAAAGTAAAAATAATAACTGGTTAATGTATGAGGTTAAGAATTAGACATAAGAAGAATGTATACTATTCCCCGATTCTATGTTTGTCTTTTATAAAATAAAAAATTATATGTGGGGGGGGGGGAACACACACCATTCTGCTTAAAACAGCTATTTAAAAAGGAGGGAAAACAGGCACACACCAAGGCAAAGCAGAGCTTAAAAAGATTTTCGTTTCTCACCAAGCAGCTTACATCCCACACTGACCTATCATTATTCAATAAGAAGTCCCATTTGCCTTCAGTGGGAGCTACTAGCAAGGTTTAAGCAGAGAGAACGAAACTCGCAGTCCAATGAGGGGGCCAGACAGAGGGTCCTGATATGAGGCTACATGCCGATTAAAATTTGGTTTAAAAACTCTGAAGGCCGCTTCCACTCAAGAACGCGACTTCGACAGCTAAGATGTGCCACTCACCACATCGTTTTGATGTTTTAAACGTGATGTTGCGGCCAGTGTTCCCTCTAAGCTGACTTAGTGTGAGCTAGCTCACAGTTTGTTAGCCTCCGACTCACACATTTTTGTCTCAGCTCAGGAAGGAAGGCTCCAGAGCAAACTGACTTATGCAGCAGCCAAACCGCTAGCTCACAACTTTAATGCCAGCACCTCATAAAGCAGAATTTTTGCTCACTAGACTCCACAGCTTAGAGGGAACATTGGTTGCGGCTATGTCTAAGTGCACATGCTCGAAAATTTTAACAACCTGGCTGCTGGGTGGTGCTAGCTACTACATTAAGTGCCTTCGGGGACGGCGGGAGATAAATCCAAAAATAAATAAAATAAAATAAATAAATAAAAGAGGTTGGCTGGCAACAACAGACTTCATTAGCCATCTCTCCTCCCCCCAGCACCCCGCAAACGTTTGCATAACAGAGCAGCAGCTCGGTTGGTTTAGTTTTTCTTCCCCTCCTCTCTTCATCAGTCTGTCCCTGGCATCGCCACTTGAAAAGACCATGGTAGTAGGCAGTGTTCCCTCTAAGCTGAGTTAGTGTGAGCCAGCTCACATTTTTTTATCCTCCGGCTCACATAGTTTTGTCTTAGTTCAGGAAGGAGGGCCCCAGAGCAAACCAATTGATGCAGTAGCCAAATCGCTCGCTCACAACTTTAATGCCCAGGAGCTCACAAAGTAGAATTTTTGCTCACAAGACTCCGCAGCCTAGAGGGAACATTGGTAGTGGGTGATGTGAAAGACCTCTGCCTGAGACCCTGGAGACCGGCTGCCAGTCTGAGTAGACAATTCTGACCTTGACGGACCGAGGGTCTGATTCAGTAGAAGGCAGCTTCGACCGGCCTATCGCCTGCAGTACGGATTACTTCCAAACAGTCAGTCGGGGACCAAATCTGATCCATAGTCTATACTGCTCAGCGCTGCACCCTCTGGCCGGCAGGAGCTCTCCCGAGTCCAGGGCAGAGAAAGGTCTTTCCCAGAATCTGTGACCTCACTCAAGCATTCAGACACTGGGAGAGGTCCTTCTCATTAAGAAGTTTAAAGGCCAGAAAAACAGCTCTTGGGTGGCCGGGAGAGCTCCTAAAAATACACCGGGGACAGTCACTTCTTCTTCTTCTTCTTTTAAAGATTTCATAAACTTGACCCAAAATCAAACAATACGTCGATAAATCATTCATGTAGTTAACCTCATTCATTAACCACAAGTACATTTACAGCTCCCTATTCAAGATAAGCATGTGCTAGCTCTTAAACTCATGTGGTTCAATCGGGCGTTGTGTTTGTTAGGTGCTATGGCCCCATTTGAAAGAAGACAATTAGGAATTTCAGACAGGCGATATATTCCGGAAGAGGAACGGTTCCCAAACGGTTTCTGGTCTGTCATTTCAGACAGAACCGTTTGAGAACCGTTTCCCTTCCGGAATATTTTTGTCATTTCATACACAATCGCTTCTGTGCCATTTAGGAAACGGGGCTGAAGCGTTTTACCTGTCAACCGCTTCCAAGTACTCCTCAGTTTCCTCTCCCGGTTCCGATGCGCTTTTCCCCACCGTTTTTCGCCCGTGCAGGCGATCTCCGGCTTTTTTTTTAACGTTTGCTTTATAGCGCTATGGCGCTATAATGGAATAGCATTATATCAATCCCATTGGAATGCATGGTGTGTTTTGTTATACTGCTATAGCGCTCTAAAGCAATCGTGTGGTTTTTTTTTTTAAAAAAAGCCGGAGATCACCCGCACGGGCGAAAAACGGCGTGGGAAAAGCGGGAAAAAGCGGTGCAGTCTGAAATGGCAAACCGCTTCAGATCCAGTTCTTTACCGGAAGGGGAAAGCCATGTGTGAAATGGCAGCCCTATACTGGTTCACTTCAAAACGGATCATTACTGGCTTGAAACCGGGTGAAACTGGGTAATGTGAAATTCCCCCATGATTACTATTCCACTATTGTACCCATGTGAGAGGTCGATAATGCTGTGGGCTCATTTGCAAACTGGCTGCAGAGAAAATTACGCTAGGTACCTCAAGCCAGTGAGCTAAGCTACGTCAGCCAAAAAAGGCGAACAAAACATTGTTTCTTCTGCGCTCTGTCCCAGTGCTGAAAGGCAGGCCCAGGTCCTACCTTGCCCACAAAGTCCGAGAGGTTGAAGATGGCCATGATCAGAATAGGGAGCCACTCCCCCAGGGTGCAGTTCCGGATTTCGGACTCCAGTCCAGGAAAGAGGCACAGCGTGATGAAGTAGGTCATCGCTATAGACAGCATGTAGGCCCAGATCACCCTGGCGACGATGTAGCGGTGCAGCATCATATCTGCGGGAGGGCGCCAAAGGGATGTGGGTCAGGCGGGGAATTGGCAGGGCCAGATCAAGGCAGGTGAATGACGCAGCCCCAGAAGGCGACGGGATTCACGGGGGAACAGCCACGCCGGAAGCAGCACGGAAGTCGAGGCTCTCGTGCTCCTTCTGGGCAACGCCGCTGTGACCCCCCCTTGCAAACAGAAAGTGCAACCTAGAATCCTTTGCGCCTGGCTATTCGGCTATTCGGCCTTTCCAAACCGGGGTAGAGACAGAGGCCGTCTTTCGAGCTCCAGAGTCCTCCACGCAGTGTTCCCCTCTAAGCTGAGTTGGTGTGAGCCAGCTCATGCTTTTTTAGCCTCCGGCTCACACAGTTTGGTCTTCGCTCAGGAAGGATGGGCTCCCGAGCAGACTATTTGAGGCAGTAGCCAAATCGCTCGCTCACAGCCTTAATGGCAGCGGCTCACAAAGCCGCCTGGAGCCTGCTTCAGCGGGGAGGGCGAGGTATAAATCAAATCAAATAAATAAATTCTTGCTCACAAGACTCCACAGCTTGGAGGAAGCATTAAGTACAGTTGACACATCCGTGGTAGGCCCCATGACACAATGCCTTGGGCATTGATTACCACGGGGTCATATTTCCATGGAGGTGTCTCTGCGTGGGTGCGACAGACGCGGTTGCGGCTACATCATGCAGAAATTGTCCCTCCCCCGCATCGTGTTCTGGTGGAGATTTGATTGATTGGATTTGATTTGTTGGATTTGTTGCCCGCACTCCCCTGTGTCCAGGCTCAGAGCAGGTAACATCATGCATAAAAACAAACTGAGAGCCAGTCTGGTGTCATGGTTAAGAGCGCGGGTTCGATTCCCCACTCCTCCACTTGCACCTGCTGGATGACCTTGGGCAAGTCACAGTTCTGGCACAGCTGTCCTTGGAAAAGAGCCGTTTCTGTCAGAGCTCTCTCAGCCCCACCTACCTCACAGGGGGTCTGTTGTGGGGAGGGGAAGGGAAAGGAGTTTATAAGCCGCTCTGAGATTCCTTCAGGTCGTGAAGGGCGGAGTATAAATCCAATCTCTCTCTAACAACTCAATATTAACATTTCCAGCACATAAATACAGTAAAATACCTAATAATATATAGTAAAACATAATACTGTAAGCCAGCAACATAATTATAAAAAATATGGTGAAAACAACGGGGGGGGGGGGGGTGATTTATAATCTGTCTGATCTGAAAGGAGAGGGGAGGAGGAGAGAGAGGAAAAGGCCAATCTGAGATGGACAAACCATCACTGTCCTCAACCATAGGCCCAGCGGAACAACTCCGTTTTACAGGCCCTGCGGAACTGCATCGAAAATCTCAGCCATGACTTCACTGAGCATCTTTGGGACAAGGTACTATTTCTTCCGCTCCAGCCCACCATCTTGCAACACAGGCCGACCTGGGAACAGTGTCACGCCTACGCCTGCCTGGAGTTTTGAGAACTCGGCCCTCACAAATGCCGTTTCCCCGGGCACCGCTGCCTTCTCACCTCTGAAGCTGGGCCAACTCCTTTTCACTTTGGGGCGTGGGACGTCAAACCTCATGTAGGTGCCGCTGCCGGCCAGTTCTCCTTCTTGCCCGAAGGTGTCCGGAGGGGAGCCCTCTTGCCCACGGGGCCGGTTTTCCTGGGAGGGAAAGAAAGAAGCAAGAAGAACCGCTCACATTTCTGCAAGTGCTCGACTTCGAAGCCTTTCATTTAGCGCGGGATAATTCTCACAACAGCCCCATGAGGCAGGCGAGCATCATTAACTGGGAAAGAGCGGCTTGCTTAAGGCCACCTGGTCCTTATATGGCAGGGTCAAAATTCAAACAGAGGACTTTCTAATCCAGAGCTCCTTCTCTTAGCCACTACGCTGCATCAGTCAGGGGAAGAGCACTTTCTCAGCTTTCTCTAGAGGCCGGCAGAACTGTAGTGGAGCGGGTCCCGTCTTCTTTGGTCACAGGAGTCACTGTGTTCTGCAGTGGGGTAGCGTCTCTGCCCTTGTCTTAAGGAGTGTTTTTAAAAACACACCACTTGCATTCAGATGACTGAACATTCATCCAGCGACCTCGCTTAAAACCTTTCTTCTGAGTTTCAAAAGGCCTCGCAAGCCACACACAGGGAGAGCCATTTTTCTCTGCAAACGACAGGAATGGATCTTCCCTGGGGAAATTGTGGTAAGATTCTCGAAGAGGCATGTGAGGGATGCAATCCTGAAAGCGGTTGCTGGAACACCCCTGAAAGCGGGGGGAAATACCATCGGAACGCTAAAGGATATTCCATTTGAAGTAAGACAGCGGAGAAAGAAGTACAAAGAGCTCGTGCTTTTTCTTCAGACGAACTCAATTGGATATAAATGGCTATTTCCAGAAGGCGTCACTTTCAAGATGAAAGATAAAAAAGAAAAGATTGACTCTGTTCAGAAAGCTCAAGAATTCCTAAGGGTTCAGCTGGGAAGGCTGAAAGGAGAATTCTTGTGGGTTTTCTTGTGGGAACAGTGTCACGCCTACGCCTGCCCGGAGTTTGACATGCATAATCTTATAAACCTCAATCATGTCACCCCTCAGTCGTCGTTTCTCCAAGCTAAAGAGCCCTAAGTGCTTTAACCTTTCCTCATAGGGAAAGTGTTCCAACCCTTTTATCATTTGAGTTGCCCTTTTCTGCACTTTTTCCAAAGCTATAATATCCTTTTTAAGGTGTGGTGACCAGAATTGCACACAGTATTCCAAATGAGGTCTCACCATTGATTTATATAGGGGCATTATTATATTGGCTGATCTGTTTTCAATACCCTTCCTAATAATCCCCAGCATAGCATTGGCCTTCTTTATTGCAGTCACACACTGTCTCGACATTTTCAGTGAGTTATCTACTACAACTCCAAGATCTCTCTCTTGATCTGTCTCTGCCAGTTCAGACCCCATCAACGTGTATTTATAGTTAGGATTTTTGGCTCCAATGTGCATCACCTTGCACTTGGCCACATTGAACCCCATTTGCCATGTTGACGCCCACTCGCCCAACTTTGACAGATCCCTTTGGAGTGCCTTTTTTTCTGTTGTAGTTTTTGTAGTGATAAAAAATAATACAAAATCCCCTCCGGGGGCTCAAAAAAATATATATTCGAAACTTTTGGAAAAAAAATCATTAAATATTTTCAAAGGTATTAATAATTAATATACCATTGACGCCGGAAATGTGCCTATTAAATATGTTGTCAGATGCAACCAAAGATCATGTGCATATAATAATATCTATATTAACAGCAGCTAGAATCGTCATAGCGAAGAGATGGAAATCAGAGAGTTTACCATCTATAAGAGAATTGAAACATAAAATTTTAGAAGTGGCAGAGATGGATAAGCTGAATATGTATTTAAAAAATAAACCAGAAGAGACTTTTTGGGAAAGATGGGGAATAGTATATGACTGGTTAAAGATCGTAAAAAGGAGGGATAATAAAAGATAATAAAGGAGGGAAATGCTAGTACTTTATTACTTGATGTAGGATCAAAGTTGTTTACTTGTCTTAACTTTATGCTAATTTATGCTAACTTATGTTTAACTTATGTTAAAAAATGAAAAAAAAGTGTAAAACACAACGATTATGTGGTGGCGGCTGTAAAATGGAAAAATGGAAAATAATTTTTTTTAAAAAAAAAGAAAAAAGGAATGGATCTTCCCCCTTTGGAGAAGACGACGTCTGAACGGAACCCAATGGGCATGCAGAGCAGGTTCAAATGCATTACTGCCACTTGGCCATGTTCAAACGTTGTCGGGTTTTAGCTCGGTCTGGCTCGCAAAGCTGCAGAGCACCAGCAGAGGGCGCCCTCCACTTCCTCAATGAGAGGACTTCAGCCTCTCTGCCCCTGAAATTCCCAAACCCACAAGAATTCCCAAACGGCACAGCGGGGGCCCATCTGCCTGTCAACAGCTTTCTGATTTAATTTCCTTCTCTCCAAAGCGATTACGGGATTAGAATAAAAAAGGCATTCCCCAAAACGTAGGGGAAAAAAGAGCTGCCACTTGCAGCACGTAAACGTACGAATCGGACGTCTTCCGCCGTGACGTCGTGGTGAACCCTGTACCCGGTGCCGTGGTCCAGCGCGGCCCCCTTGAACCCGGGGCCCCCGTCCCGCGGCCGGGCCGTGTAATACTTCACAAACTGCGTCTGTTTCACCAGGAGGTGGAGGGCGAAGCAGGTCAGCTCGAGGCTGATGGAGATGAAGAAGAAGATGATGGTGTTCTCCTTCTCGTTGGACAGAAGGAGCTTGGTGAAGATGCGGCTGAGGGAGATGATCACGCCGGCGGTGCCTGGGAAAGAAGGACAGGAGATGGGGGATTAACAATCGGAAGCACCGCAAGCTTCGTCATACCCCAACCCTGGCTTCCCGTCCACTCTCAGATCCAATACAAACCCAAACCCCCTTGTCCGTACCCTGGTCCTAGCCCGGTTCATATCCCTATCGCTGCTCTTCCCTCATTCTCCACCATCCCAAGGCCTCAGTTTCGTCCTCAAACAAGGCTCTCCTTTCTCCTCATTCATTTAAACCATTCCTCTCAGAAAATGAGGGCCCAGAATATGTGACAAGCATTCAATCGAATGACGTGGTTCCTCTTTCCCCCTCTCGACTAATGCGCCCTCTAAGCTGTGGAGTCCTGTGAGCAAAAATTCTTACTTTGTGAGCAACTGGCCTTAAAGTTGTGAGCAAGGGATTTGGCTATGGCATAAATCAGTTTGCTCTGGAGCCCCATCCTTCCAGAGCTGAGACGAAAATGCATGAGCCAGGGGCTGAGAAAATGTGAGCTAGCTCACACCAACTCAGCTTAGAGGGAAGACTGCTCTCGACCCACCTTTCTCTCAGAAAACGAGGGCCCAAAATGAGTAAAAAGGTAAAGGTAAAAGTTCCCTTGCTCGAAAGCCAGTCGAGTCCGACTCTAGGGTTGCAGTGCTCATCTCCATTTCCAAGCCGAAGAGCCAGTGCTGTCCGAAGACGTTTCCGTGGTCATGTGGCCGGCATGACTAAACACCAAGGCGCACGGAATGCTGTTACCTTCCCACTGAACTGGTACCTATTTATCTACTTGCAATTTCTTGCTTTCGAACGGCTAGGTTGGCAGGAGATGGAACTAGAGACGGGAGCTCACTCCGTCATGCGGCACACTCGGGTCTCGAACTGCTGAACGACCGACCTTCCACAGCCTGCAGTTCAGCATCTTACCCACTTGAGCCACCGCAGCTCAAAATGGGTAACAACCATGAAATCAAATAATATGGTTCCTCTCTCTCTCCCCACCTGCTATTCTCCCAGAAAACTAGGGCCCGAGATGGGTAAATGCACCCTACACGCTGCAAATGAACACCATTAAAATAACCAGCAATAACATAGCTCCTCTCTCTCTCTCAACTTGCCTTTCTCTGAGAAAACGAGGGCCCAAAATGGGTAACAACCATGAAATCAAATAATATGGTTCTTTTCTCTCTCGCCACCTGCTTTTCTCTCAGAAACCTAGGGCCCGAGATGGGTAAATGCACCCTACACGCTGCAAATGAACAGCACCTTTCTCTCGACCCACCTTCCTCGGAGAAAACGAGGGCCCAAAATGGACGACAACAATAAAGTCAAATGATATGGTTCCTCTCTCTCTTGACCCACCTTTCTCTCAGAAAACGAGAGCCCAAGATGGGTAGATACATCCTACAAACTGCAAATGACCGTGATTAAAATAACCAGCAATAACATAGTTCTCCCCCCTCTTTCTTAGAAAACTAGGGCCCAAAATGGGTAACAACCATAAAATCAAATACATTCTTCAAACAGCAAATGACCACCATTAAAATACCAGCAATAACATAGTTCCTGTCTCTCTCTCTCTCTCTCAACTTGCCTTTCTCAGGTCCCGGTCACACGGGCCGGAAAATGCAGGGGGGGGGAAGCGTGGCTGTTTGCCCCGGAGCAAAATAACGTGCGGCAGCCTGATCACATGTCCCATGGTGGTCCCGTGGGTGTGCCGATCACACGGCTATCCTGCAAAGAAGCGGCACGGCGCGATCACACTGGCAATTGCTAGGCGCCGCTTCCGTGGCAAATGGGATTTCCCCCCCCTCACCACAGTGTGCACATGTGTCAGTGGGTGTTTGTGCGCATCCTGTGGAGACTTAAAAAAAACGAACAACATCCGGTTTGCGACGGGACATGGGTGGGCGCCAGATGCCAGGGATTCCAGCAGAAATGCGATCAGACGCCCGCCCTTGCCCCGCGTTTTCCGGAAACTTGCACATCGTATGTACTAGTTTTTTATTCCGTATCTTCGGCAAGTAGCCACAGGTTAGCCACGGGTGCACTACGCCTCCCAGATGTTGCGGTGTGATCGCGCCCAGAAAATCCGCCTATCATCCGTATCTTTAGCACGGCAAATGCTCCGTGTGAACGGGGCCTCAGATAACTAGGACCCAAAATGGGTAACAACCATTTTTTCTGTGGGAATGTGTCGGAACGGAGTTCCAGAACACCTTGGACAAAACTATTTTCTAAAATGATTAAAAGTTCATGAGTCTCCAGTATACAGAGTTCCCTCTTGAGCGTTCAGCCCCTTTCAAAAACAGCAACCGTAAAATCAAACGTATTCTAAAACAAGCAAACCACCACCATTTAAATAGCCACCAAAAACGCACTTCTTCTCTCCCTCCCTCTCCTGCTTCGGCTAAGCCCACCGAAAACATTAAGTTCCTCCACGAATCCTTTGGTACAACCTCATAAAGCAGGGAAAGGAGGCTGGGATAATAGTTAAGCCAGTGGGGAAGATCTGGCCAGAGCCCGTTCTTGCTCAATTTCAAATATTTGGGCTGGGCATCCCCTACTGGACCTAAGCCTGAAAATTAGATTCGAGTCCAGTAACGTCTCGGAGATGCTACGGGCATCGGAACTAAATGTTCTATTGCAGACCGACATGGCTATCCTCTAAAATGTGAGCCGCCCTGAGCCCACTTGCAGGGAGGGCGGGTTATAAATATAATAAATAAATAAAACTGAGCCTAAAAAGGGGTTGCTGAAATAAACATATATTCTTCCCTGTTATCTCGTTTCCTCCTGTCATTTTCATGATGCAAAAGGAGAAGAAGAAGAGATTGGATTTCTACCCCGCCCTTCCCTACCTGAAGGCGTCTCAGAGTGGCTTAGAATCCCCTTCCCCTCCCCACAACAGACACACTGTGAGGTAGGTGGGGCTGAGAGAGCTCTCTCGAGGACTGCTCCTGAGAGAACAGCTCTGAGAGAACAGCTCTGAGAAAACTGTGACTGACCCAAGAAAAAGAAGAGTTGGATTTATAACTTCACTCGGAGTCTCAGAGCAGCTTACAATCTCCTTTCCCTTCCCCTCCCCACAACAGACACCCTGTGAGGTAGGTGGGGCTGAGAGAGCTCTCTCGAGGACTGCTCCTGAGAGAACAGCTCCGAGAGAACTTGCGACTGACCCAAGGTCACACCAGCAGCTGCACATAGAGGAGTGGGGAATCAAACCCGGTTCTCCCAGATTAGAGCCCGCGCTCCTGACCACGACACCAGACTGGCTACACCAAAAGCAATGCAAATATGTAAATCTGAGTCACCGACATATTCTGTCATCGTGCAATTCTGCCATTCTTTGATTTTTGTTTTGTAGAGCAGGTGCTGCTACGAGTCCCAACTGAGACCCCACATAACATGAAATCTCCTGCATTACAAGACCCCTTAGTAGCACGCTACAGAACGGCAGCAGAGTTTACTCCATTCACGTTCCAATTAAAAGCCTGCAATTCTGCTATCATTGAGATGAACGTCGCTCCAAGGAGCCTTTACTGCTCTCACAAATTAATCTTCTTAGTACAGTTTTGGAACTTAGCATCCCACAAATCCAGATTATGTCTCTCTAGAAGCGGGAGTGGACATTGTCTACTAGAATTCTGTGTGATGATTACACGGGGCTCTTTTTGTAGAAAAAGCCCAGCAGGAACTCATTAGCATAATAGGCCACACCCAACAGCAGAAACTCATTAGCATATTAGGCCACACCCCAGACAGCACGGCTCGTTAGCATATTAGGCCACACCCCCATGTTACCAGAAGTGTGGTCATCCAGCCACACCCACCTTTTGCTTCTTATTCTCTTTACCTTGCTTGTTGTCAACCAGGGCCTTTTTTGTAGCAGGGACTCCTTTGCATGTTAGGCCACACACCCCTAATGTAGCCAAAGCCTGGGGGAGGGCGGGGTTTGGGGAAGGGAGAGACTCCAATGAGACCCAGTTTGGTGTAGTGGTTAGGAGCGTGGACTCTAATCTGGGAGAACGGGGTTTGATCCCCTCCTCCTCCACATGCAGCTGCTGGTGTGACCTTGGGTCAGTCTCAAGTTCTCTCAGAGCTGTTCTCTCAGGATCAGTCCTTGAAAGAGCTCTCTCAGCCCCGCCTACCTCACAGTGTGTCTGTTGTGGGGAGGGAAAGGGATCGTAAGCCGCTCTGAGACACCTCCAGGGAGTGAAGGGCGGGGCATAAATCCAATCTCTTCTCTTCTTCTCAAAAGGGTGTAATGCCACATCGTTCACCTTCGAAACTGGCCATTTTCTCCAGGTGAATTGATCTCTGCAACCTGGAGATCAGTTATAATCCTGGGGGTTCTCCAGCCGCCAACTGGAGGCTGACAACCCTAATACACACAGGCCCCAGTCTATTTCGAAAAATAATGTGCTCTGCCTTACCGAGGAGACACAAGAATGCCTTGAGAATGCGCACTTTCTTTGCCACAGCAAAACTGCGGCAAGGATTTGTAGGCAAAACCTGTGACTGCTCGCTGGCCACGGTGGCCCAGCCATTTGGAAACGTTTTTGTCTTTCTTTATTTAGAAAATTCATACCCTGCCTTGCCAGAGATCAGCTCAAGGTCATTTACAAAGTTAGAAACAATACAATAATATCATTTGTTCAAAAAGACCCTGCGGAATAATCAATAATGAAACAAACCAGAGGCAGGAAAACAATATAAAACAGGATTCTGCATCCCAAAATGATGGCCTATCTTTAGGCTAGAAACAGACCACAAAAACGGCAAAGAAATGATAGAACTCCTTCAGTCAGAAGCCTGGGTAAAAAGAAACGTTTTGGCCCCCGTGCCTAAAAACCAGGCAAGAAACCAGGAAGCCACTGCTAGGTATGCTTGCTTACTGATATTATTATTATTATGAATGGTCACGGTCACGTACGACTGGTAGGTGGCAATGTTCCCTCTAAGATGTGGAGTCCCATGAGCCAAAATCCTACTTTGTGAGCTACTGGCATGAAAGTT